CTAATAATATTTATCAGTGGCTCATTTGTTGGCCAGGACAGCGGGACATGGGACATTGGTCTAGCGGACATCTTACCACGGACATTGGGACAGGGTACATTGGACAAGGAGCCAGTGCATTCGATGGCCAATAAACCAAACCAAACCAAAACAAAAAAAAAGCAAATAAAATATCAGCTAGGAGGCAGCAGTGGCTAATTGCGCCGCCTGTTTGCTGCTACCACTGCTGTTAACTTGGCCCGCTGAAGGTGGGGGCTACCAAAGCCAAAACCAAAACCAAAAGCTGTTGCCGATGCCTTGTGCATCCGCTCGTCAGTTTCAGTTGCAGTCTCAGTTTTTGGACGCCGTTTCCACATTGTTCGCTGCATCCAAGCCATGCATATTTATTTATCGAAGCTGAGTTTTGCATTTTAACTAGAAATCATGCAAAAACGCCGCGACATGCAATGGCCACAAAATACAAAAAATAAACTCACAAAAAAAGCGGCAAACGACGAACGGCTTTCAAATCGAATTTTCAAAGCTGTTAAATGCAGTTGAGAGCGATTTTCCCTATGTTTTCCGCACTTCCCCGCAGAAGAAAAAAGAAATATATGGACAGGGACAGAGAGACGACATGAAATCTGTTTAATATTTTCCCGCGCACTCACGCACGACGTGGGAATTTTCATCTTCTTTGACTTTGACTGCGAACTGCAACTCAAAACCTCACAAAACTGAAGGCGAACAAATAAGAAATAAGAAAAAAAGCAAAACAAAACCCATCCGAAACATTGAACCTTTCATAAAAAGCCTCACCATTTTGGCAAAGGCTGTTATTCAACGCACGAGATGCAAATTTTGATATAGGAAATGGGTTTTATAATCGGCTAATCTGATCTGACCTATAAGTGGAAGGAAGTGCAATGGCTTACTTGGACTTGAAAGGTTGATAAATATCAAAGTTATGGTTTTGTTTATATTGATTTTATATTGTAAGGCTAGCAAAAGAAGAAATATTGGGCTGGAATATAATAATGTATTTTTAGTTAATGGAATCATTAACAAATACTTTTCTGCACTAACTTACAATATCTTATGACTTCATTTCAACAGTAAACAATTAAAAACTAGTTTAAACATTCTAGAAGAAAATAATTTAGAACAGTATATGAATTTGCACTTATAATGAATTACTACTATAAACTGCATAAAGGAATTCATTCATCATTAATTCTATCTTTTTAACAGTTTTATTTCATTTTACAAATAAAGTATTTAGAAAAGTTACGACTTTTGGCATTCCCAATATAATAATTGCATACTGCAATTATCATTTTCATTAATTTCCAAAAGAAAGTGAAAAACAAGTAATACTTCAGTTATCTTTAGCAATTAATACCTGCCTTGAAAGGTGTTTATTGCTTCGCTTATGAGTTGCTATTATTTTTTTTTCTCCAGCTTCACATGCAAATAGCTTTTCTCCCCCGCAGTTTTTCCCCTGTCCAGTTTTTCAGTTTCTCTTTCTTTAACCTTAGTCGGAGGTTAGACCAACCCATTAACGACACGCATTCACAGTCATTTTCAATTTCGTGGCGCTGTCACTTAATTTGGGAGCAGTGGCAGTTGCAGCCCACGCATTTTCCCCATATTTGTGGCAATGCAAACGCATATAGACACTCTTTTTTTTGATATTGTTGAGTTGAGGGCGAAATTGCAATTTCCACGGCCTACGTAAGAGCACTTTTCGAAATCAGACTGATATTTTATGTATATTAACTGTATGGTTTAAAAAGTAAGGATTTTCGTAGGAAATATATTTTGAAACTAATTATAATCTCTTTTGGAATAAAATATATCTATTTTAAATACTTAATTTGATTGAATAATGCTCAAGCATTTACCAGACTTTTCTTACTGTGTTGACCATTCCCCCGACTTGAGTTAAAGCCAAAGTATATGGCGCTTCGTTACAATCTCTAACGGCCAGTCAGTCAGTCAGCCAACAAATTAGTTACTGACGCAATATTTGTGTGTTTATATATATCTGTGCGCTATCAAAATCACACGCAATAAATTTAATTTGTTTCGTGGGCAGAGGCAGAGAGTCTCTCTCTCTTGCTGAATCCGGAGGAACATCGACCAAATGGCATTGGCATTGACAGTTCCCGCTCCTCAGGTGCGACACAGGTGCTTGATGCCAGATTAATAAAAAGAAAACGCAGTCATAATGTTTTGATTAACACAAATGTGACAAGAGATGCATAAAAATTAATTTCCAATCTTGTTTCTCTGCGCGGATTAAAGGAGGAGACCCAAACTATATATTATATCGGAGTGGATGGCGGATTTGGGTCAATGTGGTGTTAGGTGAAACCATAGATGCGTGAGAGAGTGCTGGATCTGGAATCGCTTTGGATCGATTGGGTTTTGGTGTAGCCTCAAGGTTGAGCTGTCGGTGCACCGGCGGCGACCTTCCTTTAATGGCTTGTCCAGCCAACTAGTGCAACATTTTTCGATTTCCTTTTGACGCGCGGCCATAATTTGAACAGCGGGCTAGCAGCTGGCCGTAAAAGCCAAAAAGCGACCCACTGCCACAGACATACACGCACCACGAAAAACCTGGCCAAAACGCCCCGGGCTAAGGCCCAGGCCAAACCACGACCGAAAGTCAAAACCAGAAACCAGACCAGCCAGGGCAATTAATTGATGAGCACAGTCCGGCACTTGGTCAAGAGTTGGCATGACAGCAAATTGCATTTGCCTCTGATTCTGCTTTTAGTTTTTTTATTTTTTTGTATTTCTTCCGATCGTGCGTGCTTGGCCACGGCCATGGCCACTGGGCACGAATCTTTAAGCGGTGGCAGCAATCGCCGGAATGCAGCGCCAGAATCATGCACCGAGAGAAAAGGGAGGTAGTTTGAGAGAAATAAAATACATGTTTTCAGTCTTTCAGGGTCTTGTTACTTTAATCAGAAGCTTGTACGAAGTGAAGAGTCATTCCGACCCATAATCATATATTCTTCATCAGCATCAAAAGCCGAATCGATCTAGATATCTTAGGCAGAAACAAAAAGTATACCAATCTGTTTCTAAATTTTAAAGGAATTACATTGTTAAAATATAAAAATTTGTCACAAATTCAATTTTTTTTTGTATTATTTAAATTTGAGTATGTAGATTTATTAACCTAATAAAAACTAACATGGAAAAGCTTTCCGAATAAAAATCAATGATATTTTGGCTTAGTTATGAGTTTTTAAAACTTTGAATTGCCGAAAAAATTTCATATTTATATTTATATGATATATGGATAAATATCGATTCAAGATTACGAATATTTTAAGGAGTTATGATCTATTTTTGATACGAACATATTTATAATTCAATTGGAACTGCAAATGTATTGAAACTTCGTCTTTCCGAATACTTTGCTTTATTGTTAATGATAAAATCCATAATCATTTAGTCAAATAATATTTTAGAATAGTATTCTTAATGTTACACTCTAAAAGTAAATAAACAAATAACTTGTCAATTGTTATGGTTTCCCTGGAGTTAATCATCTTTTGCTTTTAATTTTTCTTTCATTCTGAGTCACCCCCCAAAATTTCTCACAGTGCTTGGCCCAAAAAGAAAATATTGATGATATATTTATTGGTATTTATTGGCGTCGCTTCGGCCACACTTCAAAAAGCCCGGCCTGAACAAATTGTGGAAATTTATAAGCTTCGTCCGCAGAAATCGTTGTTGTCGCTGTGGCTTCCTTTCATTTTGGGGTAGAGGATTGGAGGAACTGGGAGACTTGGCTCCAAGTTGGTCTTATGCGCAGGCGCCTTTGGCGACACCTGGCGGCAGGCTAGCAAGGACCCAAGAAAGGAAGAAAAAAAAGCTGCGGTTAAGGACTAGGAGCAGAGCTAGCCGGATTCCTCATCGACGACTTTAGTTGCTAAATTCGCTTGGGCGTGGATAGCCAGAGTGTGTGGGTAATGGGAAAATAAATGGAAAAGCGCCGGCATACAACAATGTCACATTGTTGGCCAAAAACTATTTCGGTTTCGACTTTGGCAGTTGAAAAATTGAACATGCCAGGCTTTGTGTTATGTGTGGTCAAAAGAGTTTTGCTAGGCCAGGATGGGGAATGGACAAGGGGATCCCCGAACCACATCCACTTTCACTGCAAATTTTTCAGTGTGTATTTGTGTGTGTTTGTGTCTGAAAGAAAGTGAATTCTACTGTGCTACACTTGACCTATGACAACGACAACTAAGGCAGTTAGGCAGCGGCAAGAGCAACTGGAAACGAACATTTGACGTTTCATTTGATTGTCATGCAATGTGGCCCCCTTTGGCTCACTCCCTTTTCCCTAGTCTTGTCTCCGGATCAATGCTGTCCCCAATTGATTTCTGTTTAACTTTTAACATGCAACAAGGCGGACCAGGCAGGCTTCCTCAGACCCAGTCCCAGTCCCATATCCATACCCCGAGTCCACATTCCCATCTGCCATTGCACATTGATGGTGGTGCTATGGAAAGTGGATCGAAACTATAGGAATGTACAGTGATACTTCTATAAAGCAAACTAGGAGTATTATTCTGGGGAATTCAATTAATAGTTAAGGGTTTCATATAATATATTTCATATCCTAGTTTAGGTTGAAGATACTCTTCAAATAAGATAGTTCTCTGGTAGTCTTTGCTTTTTCATTAAAATAATACAGAATTCCAACTATTACCCCTTCTTCTTTTCTGCTTATTAATCTTAATTTGAGATATTAATATTTAATATAAAATTCTACTCCAATTTCGTGCCACTGTACTCTGGTGTTGCACATGGCAACCTAGCGAATTGTGTTTAATGCGGTCTTTGCAGTCGCAGTTTGCCATTGCATGTGCCAAGCCAAAGAACTTTGGCCCATTTGAAATGCGGCAATTGTGTATCTGGCAGATACATTGGCGCTCTCTGAACTCCACACGTGTCTGAAATCTCCCTCACTTATTTTTTTTTTCCTTGCATTTCAGACCGACACGAACACCGCCGAGTCAGGGCGAGCAGAAGCAGCTGTTTCTGTTTCAGATTCTGGTTCTGTCTCGGAAGCAGGAGCAGAATTAGCCGAGATCTTGGTACTGAATGACACCCAAATCGATGGAGACGCCGAGGAGAGGCCAGCCGAAACGATCCAGATCCTAGAGTCCCCGCCAGCTAAAGTCTTGACCAATGACAGGGACATGAAAGAGGTTAAAGCAGCGCCCATTGCCCGCAACGAAGAGGTGGATGAGGTGGAGGTGGAGGCTCCTCTAGAGGTTCTAGAGTCTCTGGAGGATCCAGAGGTGGAGCAGCTGTCGGCAAACGCTAATTATGTGTGCTGTCGATATCCGGCAACAAGCTCCACCGCATCAGCAGGCACTTTGAACCGCAGCAAGTCGCGGGTTCACAAGTATCTCAAGAAGTGCAAACAGCGCCTAACGGGTCAGCAGCCAAAGACAAGTCCAAAGACCACCACTACCACCATCATCCTGGTAAGGAATGAGCCAGCCAGCATCGAGGAGAGGGAATCCGAGAATGATGACGAAGAGGAGGAGGAGTTACAGAAGGAACTGGCAGCAGCGGAGGAGGTGGACGAGGCTGAGGATAGCCCTGGCTCCTACACGGATGCCCTGCCCATCGACTGTAGCTTGGATGCCGGCCAGGAGCAACGGGCGGTCCTCGAGATGGAGCCGCCACATGAGGAAGTTTCACGACAGGAAGAGGTACGTAATAACACTGTACAAAATTATGTATTCAAATTAAAAATAGAGCTTGTAATTGAAGAGGAAATTCTCTATTTAATTTACAAATGTGTAATGAAATATATCATTTTAAAGTGTGCTGAATTAAATATTCAAGTAAGAGAATAAGAGTTTAAAGTCTTCTCAACCTCAACTTTTATCTCTTTTCCTCCACAGCCAGTCGTCGAAGGTATCCCAATATCGTTACCCACTTCGAGTCCAATCCCCCAGCTTCCCCAGCTGCCCGACGATGTGGAGGCCACGCTGGGCCAGCTGATTGACAGCCATCTGTCGCACATTTATCCCGTCTACTGGGCACGCACGCGTGCGATATTAATCGACCAGGCACGTGAGCGGCTCGTGTGCGGCTTCGACGGCAGCCTGGTACGCTTCGAGGAGCGTTTCCTATGCAAATTTGCACAAATTGCCGCCGCACTCCGTTCGGCCCATCAAATTGGCGAGGTAAGTGCGCACAGGCCCAGGCTTAAAAGGAACTCGAAATACACTCGCGAAATCCGAGCGGAATAAGAAAAAGATATCATTTGGAAGCCGCAGTGAAATTAAGTGCAATTTGCTCAAGTTCTTTAATCGCATCTAAATAGTTTGCTTTTTGCTTAAACCGCCAAAGAGAAATTGTTGGGTAACTGCGCCCCCAAATGCCTGGGGAAATTGGGGCTATCACTGGGAAGGAGGCGATAAGTGTTCTCGACAGATTAAATCGAGTAAATTGACAAAATTACAAGGGTGGAGCTTTATAGGAAATTTACTATTTATATAGAGCAATTTCAAACTACCACAAAGAACTTTAACTTTTTCCTAATTGATAAAATATTAATAAACCAAGCAGTAAAAGTTTTTAAAGTTAAAAACAAAGAGTCCTGACACTTTATAAATTGTAATTAATTACAGTGTCAACTTAATGGAATGCCCAATCGAATATGAAAATATTATTGAACTTCAATCTGTGCACATTCCTCACAACCATAATTAATCTTTCAAGATTATATCACCAGACACTCGGCAGTGGGTTTTTCTTATCAACAATTCAAAACCAACTGAGGATTGCATTTCGCAACGCAGTCTTCTGGTTGTGCAAACAATTTATTGAAAGACAAAGGGAAATGCTTAAGGTATACCTTTACCTTATGAATTATTGATTATTTTTTCTTTTAAGAATACAAAGTTAGAGTAAATTAATAATAGAAAAAGTAAGACTTGCATATTTTTTTTTGCTTTTGATAACAAAGAAAACTTAGTAATTCCTAATCCAAACGTTTTCACCTGTATTTTGCCACACAGCTGTACAATTTCAAAGCAAATATTCAGTTGAGAATACCATGAAAATTAAAATATAATACGACATCTTAGTATAAATATTAAACAATTTAATTATTTAGAATAGTAGGAGTTAAATGATTTAAAGTAAATCAAGCAACTCCCACTATTTCGCCACTTACCGTAACAGCGTCTTCGATGCATGCGCAGCCCTGGCCACTAACAGTGCCCTGTTAAAATAGGTATAAACTAACAGCGCACCGCACTGTAAACAGGTCTGCAGTGTAAATGTATCTGCAGTGCGATAGTGATGCCACATTCTGAGAGATACAAAGCTAAAACAAGACAAAACAAATACAAAATGAGATCTAATGAATTACAAGATAAACAGAAATAAGAGAGAAATACAATAATAAGTTTAAAAACCCAAAGTTGGTTAATAATTCCCCTAATTAATTAATAATTCCCCTAATAGCTATTGTCATTTGAATATTTAATATTCTCTAAAATTTCAATATTAGAGACAATGAATTAATATATGTTTTATATGCGAAAAATATATATAAATTTAAAAGATTTTGAAGGGGAATAAGATAACTTAAAGATTTAAATAAACCTATTAAGTAACAGCACCTTAATGTACCCAAAAACGATCATTTTGGTTAAAATATTTTGATACCTAACTTATAGAATATTTCTGAGGGCGATTCTAAAAAGCTGGTGGCCTGTTTCTGTTTCCTTATGTACATTTAACTGGTAAAAATTATAAATTAAACCTATAAGTTCCTATATTCCATATTTTCCTTTATTGTAGCCTTAGCCAGAAGCAAGCTAAGCTGACAACACTGCCGCAGCAGAGCTTGGAAGTTGCAGAGTCGTGCGGCAATTTAGTTTTCAGTTGTAAATTTGAACTCGCGACGCGCAGTCTTGGTAGCGGCAGAAAGCGATCCGACGCAAGCGACCGAAGACGAATATATATGTACAGAGATATATAGCCACTGGCAACGTGCAACGTGCAACAAATATTCGTAGTTTTGAGGCGCCGTCCGGATAGTGTAGAGTGCGTCGAAAGAAATGTGCCAAGTATCATAAAAAAAAACGCAAATAAATTAAATCAGAGTGTTGAGCGAGAAGTGCCTACGAAACACGTTATTAAAGTGCCTTCTTAGTGTGTGATCTTTTCTTACAATCTACAAGGAATTGTAATAATCGTTAAAGTGCAGCATACTATATCTTAATACCCATATATAGTATAGTATAACTCTTTATAGCCGACACATCAGTGTAAATCAAAGGATTTCCTCGCCAAATAGTTTCGAGGTAAATTTCTAGTTTCAGTCACAAACATTTTATTAGCGAACCGTCAAAGTTCATTATCACATTTATGGCCAATAATAATTGTTTGTTGAGTGGCTGCATAGTGTATAGTGTCGAGTATCTCAACTCGACCCTGACCCCGGTATTCATTAAAAATCAATTGTTTTCCACTCGCATTCGCAATTTGCATACTTATTACACACGGTCAAAAGACAAAGTACAGAGCAGAGAGTTAAAACAGAGACAAACCAAATAGGAAGTGTCCTTCGTTTAAAACCCACGCTTTTATTTTTCAATTCTAACAAGACCACGAGAGAGAGAGGTCTCGCATTATTTTGTATTATTTTTTCCAATGACACACACAGCGGTGGCAAGTGTGGGTTGTGTTTTTGTGTGCAGAGTGTGTTTTTGCCCCTTCTAAATCGAATTGTCAGAGGTTCTGGGTCTACTTATCAGCTGGGAGCTGGAGGAGCTAAAGGCCCCAACTCTGCTGTAATTTATAATAATTTTTCGTAACGCATACGCACCGTGGAACATATGTGGGAAGCTGCACAAGGCAGACCATAATAAAATGCTAGCAAAGTGCTTTGGCGTGACCCACATACAACATGCGCTCGCTCGCCCAGTACATAAACTTATTTGAATCAATCAGCTCTACGAGCACATTTTGCCGCTGATTTGGAGTCGTAAATTTGTGGGCATCTGTTGAAGCTTGATGATTTTTGACCTGTGCAACTCGTTTTTTTGCCGTTTGTTGCAGCTGCGTCTGCACGTTAATTGCCATTTAATTTGTGTTGCGCTACAGCCCGCCCCTCGAAACTCAATGGAAGTTTTATTCTCTCCGGACACGTTCTGTAATTTAAATCGCCTTTGTGCGCAGACGCAACAGCAGCACTACGCAGCTGAGGAGTACAAGTACTTTATAGGGTTTTATTCTGTTCTGGTTTTATTTTTTATTTTTTGCTTTTTATTTGTTCTTGTTTTCATTTTATTTTCATTTTACCCCAAGTACCCCGAACCGTGAGCGGAAATTGTGTATTAAGTGTTCTCTGAGCAAAGGGAGCGATGGGGTAAAACCGTACAGTCTGCTAAACAGATTCTTGCTAAACAGATTTTCCTGCCAAACTGGGAATTAGCACAGAACGAAAATAATACTTAATACTCAATAATTTATACTTCAGAAAAATAATCATATTAACACATTAAACATTTGTTGATGGTTATTATAGGTAGATAGTTAATACAAGCAAAGTTGATGTTTGTAATCAATTAAACCTAGAGTAAAGTTAGTTTGTAAAGTAAAAAATAAATCAGAGAATTAAGTATGAAGCTAGAAGTTGTACCGGAATTAAGAATTATTTTTTGTTTATTAAATATATATTAAAATTCAGATTTAGTTATAAAATAAGAAACGCCTAATGGGCTTCAAGTTATAATAAATAAGGTATGTATCTCGGATATTATAAAAATCAAAACCAATCCTCGAGTCTGGAGGAAAATTGAAAATTCTTATTAGATATATGACGATATATATGTAGGTTGTTCCTATCTATCTATCCCAAACTAAGACAAAACTATACAATTATCATCTTTCAGATAAGATTATCTTCTAATAAATATATACTAGAACAATAAGTACTTCGTTTCCAACATTTTAAAGTATCTTTTCAAACTTCTGGCTACTATTATAAATATTTCTTTCCGTGTGATTGAGATTCTCTGAACACGGCATATCACTTAGCCGAACAGCAATTACGATTAGGAGCAGCAGACTGGACGGACTACACTGGAGTATAGTGAAGTGCCATTTGGAGGGGAGTGAGTGACGGAGCTTCCGAGTTGCATTTGAAACGGACCATCAATCGAGCGCAGATCTGTGCAATAATTTGCAGAAAAGTGCTTTGAACTGTGTTGAACACAACATGATCGGCATTTGTTAGCGATAATGAATTGAACATTTCTGAAAACATGTTTGTACATAATTTGTATGCAGGCTCTAGGGGGACTCTATGGACTGTGGACTGTGGACTGGACCCAACTCCGAACTCGAGTCGACTCCGGACCATGGCGTCTGCCATGTGTCTGGTTGTCTGAATGTCTAGAGTGTCCGAATGTCTGTGACTGGATATAGTATTTGTGTTGGTCTAACTAAGAGCATCTGGCTTGGTTTTGCTTTTCTTTTATTTTATTTTTGCTTGCTTTTGGCGGGGAATTAGAGACTCTCCCGAGGGAGGCGAGAAAGAAAGAAATGTGCAAAGTGTAAAGTGCATATTTATGGCTTGCATAAAATAACTTGTAAAACTCATTCACTCCACTCGGTGTGTGTATTCATGTGAGTGCATTCGCCATTCGAACACGTGTTGTTTGGTTTGACTTCACAGATCGCACAGCTATATCTGTATATATCCGTATATATATGTGTGTTCCCCGAGGAAGTCGCTGTTCAGGATATGGATGATATGTGACTGGACTCGTCAATGAGCAAACATTTCGGATTACACTCGTACACCGCCTGGGTTTATTATGCAGCAAAGTGTGCACAGTTTGTCCATTATTTTGACAGAAATATGTGGCTGAGCGTTAAGATATAGCATTTGATGGGTCAATGAGCCCCAAGCACAGCAGGAGTTGGGAATCTATTCTTGGTAGATATAACCACACTATTTTATTTACTGAAAATATTCACAGACTTTCAAGGAATGTACTCTTAACTTACTACTTAATAATTTTCTTAACACCTTTATAGAAACTTGAGTAAATTTGATTTGTCTTAATAACAAATTTCTTTTAAATTGCTTCGAAATTCTCAAGTTTCATTACCCTTTAATTACTTAATTAATGTGCGGCATACCCATAAACACATCCATTAA